GCATTAAACATATCTCCTTTTCGGGACCTTGAAATGAGCCCTGACCTCAGCCATTACTCCGAAAAGAATAAATCAAAAAACGACTAGTATCCGGTCTTCTAGAGGCCGGATTCAGTCGACCACAGAACAGAACAAAAAACTAGCGTTTATCTACCAAACGGAGTCAACACCATGCGTATACACCAACGCACNCTGAAACAAGAGACAATTAGGAATGCTACTGTTCAACTGTTCATTCTCCGCTCGTACGTAACCAATGGTCAAGACCACACAAATGGGGTTCAAAAAGGTTCTTGCCACCACACGCTTCACAGTGTCCCAATGACGCCCTCTGTTACAAAACCGTTTTAGACAGCCGGGACACAACCAAACCATGCAATCATTCTTCCAGCAGTCGGGGTGAAAGAGTAAGGAAAAGCTGTGCGTTAGGTAGATAGGGGCAATGGGAAGGTCTCCGCCCTCACTTTTCCGGAGTCACATCCGCAGCTCACTTGGCACTAAGCCGACAATTTGCCCCAGGGTTGCATGAAGTGGGCGCTCCGACCAGAATTTTGAGCAACAGTGGTCTCCAGTTGGAAACTTTTCATGGCTTGGAGAATGGGGATCGATCAAATGACCTTGAACTTTTTGAATCAAACCGCGTTTGGATGCTGCGCGCTTACCGCCAGCTCCCTGTCGTCTCCTTTGTGGATGGGGGCCACATTCGCTACTTTCCAGTCCTGCGGCAATGTGGCTGTCGTCATGCACAGATTGAAGAGGCGAACTAACGGGGCAGCTGGATGCTCCCTAGCGGCCCAAGCAGTGCGGAGTGGATTTCGTCCGGTCCCGCCGCTTTTCCCTTATCTAAACTCACCAGGGTCTTTACCACCTCCTCCGGTGGGAAAATGATTTCATCCCTCAGCGTAGATCCTGCCGGCTGGTGCATAGGTTGCAGGATGCCCTCATCCTTCGTGTGAACGCTGTGGAAGTGCACTCACAAGGTGATGGCCTTCTGGGAGTTTGTCGTGGCGGGGGTGTTGTCCTTTTGCCTGATACAGCCGACTTAGACTGTACATACCCGTCGAAGGCCTTATGGTAGCGCTTTGCTTTCTTGGCCAGGGAAAGCTCGAAAGCTCTTTTGGCATCCAGGAGGATACAGTCGAAAGACTTTCGTTCTCGTAGGTACTGAAGGTGTCTAAGATAGCCGCCCATGGCACAGAGTCGTTGCCCCGCGGCCTGCTTTCTAACAAGGGCTTTTTTGATTCGACTGGACCACCAGGGCGGGTGGTCCGCGACCTAACGGGATACAGGGGTGCGAAATTATTGGTGAGAGTCAACAGTTTATTCCTGATCAAATTCCACGACTCCGCAGTTCCATAGTTTGCTTCGGACCAGACCATGGTTTGAGCCGCAGCCTGGAGACATTCGGGCTTCATGCGCTCATAGCGTCTCCTCAATTTGACTTGAGAAAGCGGAAGAGCACCGCCGTATTAGCACGGATACTAGCGTGCGTAATTCTTCCTAGCGGTGCACCTATGGCAGTGATCCTGGTGTCATTTCTGCTTTTGGTAAACACAAGATCTAAGGTGTTGGGAGAGTTACCCAGTCGCCATCGGGTTGGATCGGTGACGTGCTGTGTGAGCGCCACTTCATGCATCACCTCTAGTATCTCATCCCAAAGCTGCCAAATGACGCATACTCCATATCCCATTCGATTTCAGGAGCATTGAAATCCCCAAGACAAGAACCCTACTTGCCCGAGTTGTTGTGTGCCGGAGAAAATCTATCAGCAACTCATTTTCGTCGATGCCTGCGCTTGGGCTACGATAGACACTCAGAACTGCTAATCTTACTCCTGAGAGCTTGATTACACACTCGGCAGCCTGAATGTTCTCCGTGCACAGAGTATCCACGGCGGTCTGAGGAAAGAGGTCTGCCACGAACAGTAGAGCACCACCCCCTAACCTATCCCCTGGACGATGGCATCGATAAGCCTGGAATCCTGGTGGACAGAAGCCCGCGATACAAAAATCAGACTTGAGCCAAGTCTCCCTTTTGGCGAGGCAGTGCGTTTGGTCTGCCTCAGCCCGGAGCTCGGCCCACTTGTTCATTAGGCTGCAGGCGTTAGTGTAGTAAACACTGCGAGCCTGCACCCTTTTACCTCCTATTGCTTTTGAGGGGTTGCACCCGGGAGTTGCTCCCGGGTAACCTTCAAGTTTTTTACCTCTGGTCTTGTGGCGGAGTTTCCCGTGGGTCTAACGCACTACTCTGGACTTCGTGCCCTGAAGATTCACCCCTCGGGCCATCTCTAGGAGCGGGGGACGTTTTCCTGCGCGGATTCTCGTGCCCCACTCTTACTACGTTGACGGACAGAAGTTTGGTGCTAAATTGCTGCCTGCAGCTAGGTGAGCTAGGTAAGACCGTTGTGTTATTTTTGCGGGGCTAGTCCGGCCCTATGGTTACTTGCTCTTCGGTCAACTTCCTCACATTGGAGGAAGCTGCCAGCATCAAGTCCCGATGCCTCGGGTTATGAAGCTCTACAAGGGTTGACCTAGGTGGTATGGCACTAGGTGCTTGTTTATCGCCCTGCCACTTCCCAAGGCGCAACACTCGCTTAATCTGCACCTCTGAGGGGATCTGAGCGAGTCGGATTATGTTTCTAACTTGATGTAGGAGCGTTTGCCTGCGCCTTTCTCTACAAAACGGCTCTGGGATGCCGCTGATAACGACATTTCTGTTTCTCCCTAGGGCTGTGTTGGTATGGGCCTCGAGCCTACGCAGGGAGTCTCTCAGGTTGGTGGTAATTTCGGCGAGCTTCGCAATGGCCTCCTGGTTAGCGTCCATGCGCGCATCACAGGCCCCTTTCCCTGGTGGCAAGTCACACTGGGTAGCCTTGTTGGTTCCCCTCCTGTTTCCGGCGGCTTGCACACTCATCCCTGCGGTTGCCGGTTTGGCAACACGTGCCCTAGGGCTGGACTTAACCCCTCGGCTTAGGGGTGCCGCTGACGTGGTTTGTTGTTCATCACGCTCAGGCTTTCCCACTAAAATTCATTGCCGGTCGTTAACTGCTCCAGGCTGGTTTCCCTCCCCAGGCATCAGGGTCCCTAGCTCGGGTTTACCTTCGATTATCTCCCTACTTAGGGTCGAGTTAAACAGAGGAGCTTGCACTGCCAACAGTGAAGAAGAGTTTCCTTTCGAAGGCAGTGTTTTCGCTCTGGATATTCCGATAGAGCTGGTGCAGTTTGGACAAACCCATTTCAGAACCTTGTGGACAGCGTAGTGTTCAANTCAACTGCCTTGGAATTTAGTTTACTGCACCGTTGGTGAAACCAATCGTGGCACAGATCACAACGGATGCCCTCAACAACCTCTAGAGAACACCCACTTCTGGCACACGGGTAGGGTGCAATAACCTGCTTGGCTCGTGTAGTCCCTTTAGGAGGATTTCTCTGAGCTACCATGGCACTTGTCTAGATACGCCTCGAGACTAAGTCCGGTTAAATGGAGTGTGTGTAAAGATGAAAACCTTACACAAAAACGATAAAAACTAGGGATAAGTAACTCTGGGTAGTACTCTCGGCAGTAAATGTTGTAGCCTAGTCGCTCACCTGGACGGGAATTCGTCACGTTGTTCCTGCCACTCGGGTTCCGCTCAGTTGTGGCTTCCAGATTAGAGTTCCGATCTCCAGCGCTGAAGGCTCGGTACAAATTGCGCTTCCGCTAATTTTCCAGCAGGAAATTGGACCCTGGAGTGTTTCTTCCTATTATTGTTGGCCTAATACAACAGCGGAACTCTCCACTCCAAAATTCGAAGCACGCGTGGTCAAGGTCAAGGTTACAGGGAGAACAGGTCTAGGTCCCGTAGTCGTTGGAGGTGTCTGTTATCTTTCTGACCTGCTACCATTGTAGTTGCTAAGCGCTGTACATCATCCTGTTCATCCTGTTTTTAAACAAGGCGCTCTTGCCTGTACGCAATATTCTATATGTGGACGCACTATGGTTTTGTACATTGGTACAAAAACCTCGGGTCTTCTGCAACTTACTGCAGCGCACAACCTGAAAAGTTCATGTCGAGCTATTTTAGTCGCTCGCGTGCACTGTAGGGATGGCCTGAAATCGTTCGTTAGCATTACCCCTAGATCCTTTGCTGCAGATGCAACACAACTCTCGTATCGTCATTGGCTCTTGTGGTCAAGAGCTGACACTTACCTAAGATACAGTGGCAGATCCCACTTATCCGACCCCCTTCGAACTGCATCTAGATCCTGCTCCAGTCCTTCCCGCCACCTTCGAACTGCATCTAGATCCTGCTCCAGTCCTTCCCCAGCTAACTTCACATCATCCGCGAACATGAGGCAAGGATTTTGGAGATCTTTTGCAACGTCGTTAATAAAGATCAAAAATGATTAACGGACCCAACACCGATCCCTGTGGGACACCTCTCGATACTCCCTCAGGTTCGCTTGTATAATTTCCAGCTCTCATACTGAATGTGCGACAGCTGAGAAATTGTCTAATCCATTCTCTTGCTTTGCCTAGGATCCCCGCTGTCTGCACTTTTAGATCNCTTTGCTGAAATCTAGGTAGTAAACCTCTACTTGGCGGCCTGCATCTATTCATTTTGTAGCTTCGTCTAGAAATGCCAGTAGGTTAGTTACGCACAACCTTTTCTCGACGAATCCATGCTGGGCTTGAGTCAGAAGCCCATGGGTCATCATATAAGAATATATCTGTTTCCTACCTATCCGCTCGAGACACTTGCATGTGACCGAGGT